ATATAAAAATTGGTTGAGAAATATTCATAGAGATATGTTAATTATTGTATGTACTAAAAAAAAAATTGATTATCTTGATCAAATATAATTTTCTAGTTTAATACAATATTATATTATAGAATTGTGTGTTAGAGAGTTTTGTTCACAATTATATTTTACAGTTAAAATTTGATCTTCGATGAGATCGTGTACGAGTTTTTATCAGTCCAGTCCTGTCAATGTGGATAACGTGTCGGATATTACACTGATAAGGAGAGGATCGTTTAATACACGGATATAATATATATATATATAAAGAGTTCGTGCTTTATAAATCGCTGGAGGTTAGCGTCCCTTGAGATTTTCTCTGTGATTTCTTCGATTAACTTCTTCGTAGATTTTCTCGTAGAGAATTTACTATATATATAGTATATTTATATATAAATCGATATTAAATATATTTCTATTTCGCGATAAAAAAAAAAAAAATCAATATATTTAACACGGTATGAAGTTATAGGTGTATTTTTAAAAACTCGTAACTTCAATTTGTTTTTTTTTTTTCATACAATAAATTTTGCAATCGTTACACATCTATTTATTAATTATTTTTATATTTTTTTTGATCGGATTACACGTTAAACAAATGTCATATACGATAATGAAATGATTTATAAATACACAACAATTTTTTTATAATCATAATAATACGAAAGAACATATCGAAATTGAATTATCTCTTTGCAAAAAGAAAAAAAAACAACAACAATTAATATTACTCTTATAAATCGAATTTAAATTATTGATTAACAAAAAAAGAAAAAAGAAACATTCGAGTATCATATTATATAACAAGACAATGATTCGTGTTTAATTATTTTCACGAGTAAACCAAAAAGAACTCGTTGGGCAATGAGAATAAAGTAACATGAGAACATTTCAGAAAGTAGTAATAGCAGCAGCACACAGTAACAGTAGTAGTAGTAGTAGTAGTAGTAGTAGTAGTAGTAGTAGTAGTAGTAGTAGTAGTAGTAGTAGTTTTATAATAAAAATTAAAGTGAACACAAAAAGTAGAGTTGAAAGAGAAAGACAACCAGCCAGTCAACCAATCAGACAGACAGACAGACAGACACACAGACAGAAAAAAAGACAGACAGACAGTGAAAGAAAAAAAGAGAAAGAGAAAGTAGGTAGGAGGGTGTTAATGTAAAGAAAAGGTAGAAACTTTATCGCGTGACGTGAAAAGGGCGAGTCAGAGAGTAACGAAGAAAGTTCAATAGAATACAAAGAGAGAGAGAGAGAGAGAGAGAGATAGAGAGATGAGATTCTTCTTCTTCTTCTTTCTTTTTCTTCTCATATGTATGCACAAAAGTTGTTTCTTCTTTAAAAATAGAGAAAGAAAGATAGAGAAAAGGTATAAAAGAAAGTAGAGTAACTCTTTCCAAGCTGTTTAGTCGATGAAGTCCTATTTCAAAACCCTTTCTTTGAGAGAGTCTCTATTGAAGGTACATCCCTTCAGTGCACTTTCCAAGAAGAACATCTTCCGGAACAGCAAACTGTCTTTCTTTATCTTATTTCTCTCGTTTTCTCTATCATATTTCGTATTTCTTTTGTTTTATTTCGTTCGAGCATAACTCGGAAGGATTTTATCCTTTTGTTCTTGATAATATCGATAACTATGCGAACGAGAATACTTTAACTATTATATCGTTTTTCCTTTTTTTTTTTTAATTTCTTTTCTTTTTTTGTAATATTGTTTTTTAAAACACGTGGTAAAACGTAAGAACAAAGGATGGAAGAAAGGGAAGGAAGATCCTTTTGAAGTATAATAAAATATAAAGAAAATAATGTGTTTTTGTATAGTAATTAATTTGTTATTAAATTATTGTGTTGTTATTAAATAAAGAAATAAAAATTCGAATGTTCTTATATATCTTTGAGGAAATATAATAATCGATATTATTATTAGTAGAATAACGAAAAAATTAATAAAAAAAAATAATGATTCTCTTATTTTATCAGAGTCATTGTTCTATAGGATTTTTTTTTTTATTTCTTTATGATAATATAAATTATTTATACAAGCCAAAAAACAATAATTAGTTACATTTATATTATAATTTTTGTTTTTCTTTTTATTCGCGAGGATATATTTGTTTTACAATTAGATATAAATATTTTTGAAAGAAATAAAAATTCCTTTTTCTTAAATAAAATAATCTCTTACAATTAAATAAATAAATGTTTCTTAATTATAAAATATATTCTTATCTCGGATATAATTTCTGTACACGATCAAAAATTATAGGCTTAAATGAGATGACCAATTTTATTGTTTTCCATTATTATCAAAAATATTAATCTTTAAGTTCGTTTGTAAAATTATGAAAAAATAAACTTATGATTAGCGTACCACAAACGTTAATGTTGATTCTAACAAAAAGATGACGTTCTTTTTTCAACCCGTCTTCTACTTTCTTGCTATTCCTTCTCTTTATTTTCCGGTGAGTAAAAGTTTCGACTGTTTTTAATGGCAACCATACTACTACTACTACTACTACTATCGTATTACTTTTGCTTGTGCAAGAAATAGAAAAAGAAAGAAAGAAAACGTGCTTTTTTCAAGATAACGATATCCTAGAAGCCAAGATTTTCCTCAAATCTTTTCTTATCTTTAATTTTCCCCAAGATAGTATTATGATATGCCAAACTTTCAACAATTATTTTTAAGGATTCATCAAAGTAACATAGAACAAGAGAAAAAAATAAAACTTTACCCAATCCTTTCCCCTTTGACATAAGACATAAAAAAAAAAACAAAAGAAAAGATAAAGAAAAACTGAAGAAGATAATGATTAGATAAAGATAAAATGAAAATGAAGGAAATAGCAATGGCAAATGGAATTTTGTAATATACTTTTGAAAAAAAAAAACGAAAAGGAGGGTAAATTCTTTGGTTAAAGAAATTGATAGTGATGATAATTCAAAGTCTTATTCTTACGTGGATAAGTTCTAACTCTAACTAAGAATTTAGACTGAAACAAATGTGTTAGATAAAGATAGAAAGAAAATGGGATCGAATAAGAAGAAGAAAAAGAATAAGAAGAAGAATAAAAAGAAGATTTACCTGTATCTCTGAGTGTCCATTTCCCTTCGTTCCTCTGCTATGGCCTCGTTTAGGTCTCTGTTAGGATCGATTCCTCTTGGGGTTGGATTGCTCGATTGTAGATTGTCATTGCTTACGAACTCGACCTCGACGTCGTCTTCGTGATAGGTTTCCGTCAGAGTGTATTCCCGCAACTGCAACACACGTTTAATGGGGTCTATGATAGAAATTGTTTCCCCTTAGGATCAAAAATGATTCTACTCATTCTTCTTATCGAATTATTTCAAAGAAATTTGTCGAACTAAAAAGTTAAGATTAAATCGTAAGATTTTTATTTCTTTTTCTTCTTGTTGGTTTTTTTTTTTCTCTTATGTAATACGAAAGAATATATATTTTAATATTATATTATATTTTAGTTTTAGTTTTATTTTATTAGGGTGAATTAAAAAAGTTCGTATGTTAGATAAATTAATATTTCACTTGTATTTTTCTTGTTGTTGTTGTTATTGGTTTAATGGTTTTTTTTTCTTATATAATACGAAAGAATATATTTTTAATATTTTGATATTAAATTATACTTTAATTTTAGTTTTAGTTTTATTTTATTAGGGTGAATTAAAAAAGTTCGTGCGTTAGTTAAATTAATATTTCACTCGTATGTAAAGTAATTTTGATTGACATAGAAAAAAATTAGCATTATATGAAAGAACGCGACCAATTCACGAACTTTTTGTTCACACACATATTCTAATATATATTATATTATATTAATATTTTTATATTCATATAAAATTACTTTTTCAATTATTCGATGCAAGTAGTCAACGTTTGTTTAATGTACGACATGTCAAGTTTGTCTTAAAAAAATATTAAAAACGTATTAAATGCTAACTTTTACATATTATTGCTATGTGTAATAAATTTTCATATTGATAAATAAATGTACTTGAACAAAATTATTAAAAAGAAACAAAATATAATAACAATTTATAACGACAAACCTTTTAGTTAAAAAATATTATTATATATTATATTATCTTATAGAAATAGAGATTTAATTTTAAATCTATGGTATAATTGATGGTGTTCGTGTGAAATTAAATTATAAAAATGTTGTCCGTTGTAATACGGGCAATGATTGCAATTGGCTAGAAAATAATACAGATTTATAAGTTGATATTATTATTATTATCTATATCGATTTTTGTAAAAAGTTGAAAAAATTTTATCTACATCTTTATTTTGTTGATGAAAACACGCGTAAGATAGAAAATGATATCAATTCGATATACGAGAAGAAAACCCGTTATTACTTTCCAGTCCCTTTTCCACCCTTCTCCACCCCACCCTCGTTTTTGAAACTGTCCTTCTACCTACTTCATCCAGATCTCTCACATTCAGACCGAAGAAGAGAGACGAGTAGAAAAGCAGAGTAAAAAGTTCCGTGCAAAGTTTGCGTGCTTATCGAACCGTAAACTTGGCAGTCCCTTTCCCTTCTCCCTACTCTTCCCTTTTGTATCATGGTCGTTAAGACTCTACAGGGACAATGGAAAGAGGTTGGAGAGTCGACATACACATACACACACACACACACACATATAGACAAGATCGCTTTTATATTTAAATAATCTCCTAGGGTTGATCTTATCAAAAGTACATTTATGTTTTTAAATCTGTCATCATCAGATTTGAAAATTCGAAATGAAGATATTATTAACCTCGTTTTGAAATAAAAAATCTTTTCTATTTATTCGTTATATTATCTAATAAATAGAAATTAAGATTATAACTTTCTGATTTTTTGCATTTTTTGTCCATTTTTATGTAATTGTTTAAATTAATCTACATTTGTTTTTTTTTAAAGTTCCTGTGCATTCATAAATTCGGAGAATAAAATTTTCATTTAAATTATTTAATATTCAAAGTATGTTAAAAAACTGCTAATTTTAACCCATAATGCGAATTAAAAAAGCATAGAAAACCTAAGGCAGTAAGAAACTAATATGTGCAACTTATGGCTCACTAACATATTATTGTTAATCCATAATTGTTTGCTTTAATTACTAATTATTTTACAAGTTATTGATAATTAATAAGTATGTAATGCTTATACTAGTACATATATGTTTAAACAATCTGAAATATAAATAGAGTGTATTAGATTATTAAAATAATTGTTAATTAATCGATAGAAGTGTCTATTGTTGTTTAAAAATATCGAATTTATGATCGGAGTACTGTTCTCTTCGAAATTTACCTTCAGACTGGCACGTTGACATTTATATATGAAAGTACTTTTATTCAATATTATTTATATGACTTTATATAAAAACGTTGCGCATGTGTATAAATGGAATATAATATTTGTAATAAATAGAATTTCCTATTTTGGATAGTCATATAAACAATATTTAACGAAAAAACTTTAACAGAGTACATTGACCCAGTTAAACGTTGGATTTCGAAGAGGATGGTACACAGATCATATATTCTGAACTTTTTAATAGCAATAGACACTTCTATCGATTAAWTAACAATTATTTTAATACTCTAATTAAACTCTTCTATTATTTCAGATTATTTAGTAGTATATACATTTGCATACACATTAAATAATTATTAATATATATTGAATATTAAATATAATTTCAATTTGATATTTTGTTAGATGGAAAATTTTAGCCCAACGTCTCGAAGTCATCACTGCACAGGAGCGTTCAAATAATTACATAAAAATGAAGATTTTTTTCATTGTTTTCAAAAAGTTAGTAGTGAAAAAGGACGACACTACATTTATATATATATATATGATGCTGCAGTTGCATAGTTGCATAGTTCCTATACACCTATACAAATCTACAAACAATTAATCGATCGAGTTACATTCAATAATTGATTCTACCCCTTTCCCCTTTTAAAATAATAAAAAAGAAACAAAAAAATAAATCCAATTGCAATAATGAAACAATCGTAGTATAGCAATTTCAAAATAAAAAAAAAAGTAAAAAATATAGAAGAAAAGAGAGAATAAATAAAAATTAAAAAAGATAGATAGAATAATATAAAAACAATGTAATATCGTTTTATGTATTCAAAACGGGTTGGGGTGGGGGCTGGGGGGGGTTTACAGAGGGACAGATTTGGTGTATTCATTTTGATCGAGTATAACTCTGAACCGCAAAACAAAAATAAAATAAATGAAAGTTGAAATAAGATGAGAACAGGAAGGGGAAGTACAGTACGGGGTGATGGGGGGGAGGGATAGAGGGGAGTTTGCAATCGAATTTGAAGGTCTAGTACCGACAACGACCCTCCAATTACGATACTCTCAACCCCTCCTTCTTGTTTGAAGCCATGAGAGAGCAACCTGCCGTCGATTTAACCTCGGTCCTGCTCGATTTAACAATTTTATCAATTGACGATATATATACATACACACACGTGTATCACCACCACCACCACCACCACCACCACTACTATTACCAGTTGGTACTAATTGCCAGAACGGCAATCATGCCAATCATCATCGTACTCGCAACTCTCTGTCGCGTGAGTTACGTTTGTGAAAAAAAAAACAAAAAAGAATATTTTAGGCAAAATATCGAGAAGACAACGAAAAAAACCAAAAAAACATGGATATCGTATAATGAAAAGAAAAATCAGAAAAAAAATACCAAGAAAATACAAACAATTTCGTTTCGTTAATGGAAAATATAATGGGGGTGGGGAAGGGGGAAATAGTTTTATTACGAAAGTATGATATCGAATGAAGCGGGGGTGGGGGGAACAATTTTTCAAAATTATCGACGAGACCATTTGAATTATTCCATCGAGAAAAATAATCAATTGAAGTATATTGCATTGATAGACGTCTATGTCAATGGGGTTTCGATTAAGGGTCTATGATACTGATTGCATGGGATACATTCGATGGTAAAAAAGGGTTTATTTAATTGCATCAAAATCATTTTATTTCGTCAAGGAATTCGATAGTTTTATCTGAAAAATAATTTTAAAATCATTGAAAGTAATGAAAAGATTATTATGTTATAAAAAATTTTACTTTGTATAAAAGTATAATTTAATGTTCAAAAAATGAAAGTATAATAATAATGAATTATTTGAAAGAAAGTACAATTAATAAAATTAATAAAAATCTAATTAAAATCGTACTACGTAAGACAAATTTATTATTGTCCTCAAAAAAATAAATAGTAATCTAATAATTAATTACTGTCATTTAATTACATAAGTAATTAGTCTTGATAATTATCGCAAGATGAAGAAAAGAACGAAGAAAATAAAAGTAGGGGAAAGAAAAAAGGGAAATTGATAATAATTCGTGGATTATTGTGTAGATCATAAATTATCTAATCGTAATACTTTCATACAATAAGATGAAACATACTGTGCGAAGATACTTCAATAAGAGAAGACCCGGTTGATCTAATCCATCGGAGAAGCTTAATTGAAACCTGTCACCGTACGTAGTTCGATTAAACTAGACGTTAATTAGCGTTCAACCCAATTTCAAAGCTACGATGATCATCGGTGGTTCCTAGAGTAAATGATTAATAGACCATAGACCCGATTTTCTATCTTTTTTTTTCTCTTCTTTTCTTTTTTCCAACCTTCTTCGTCGTAGTTGATCGTAATTGTGTTTCATTTAAAGAACCGTAAAAAAGAACCAACAAAACAAATATTTAATAAAACTAACTATTCTGGTCTATTTTAACTTATATTATCACAAATGTGTGTGTGTGTGTGTTTTTTCTCTCTTTACGTGTTAGATGTAATTCAATTTAACGAACTACGACTTTTAACGTCGATAATATTTTTATTGACATTTACACTCACACACATACGTATCACGTTATTACACACATGGCTTTATTGTATTGAATAATTTGAATATTCTTATTGAGAGAATTATATATTGCAATTAGTGATTATAAATAGGATTAATATTTGTAATGCTTGAAACACAATAGTAATTGATTTTTAAGATTACTTGAAAACATTTTAATCCCAATAGGTAACATCTAACGTTATAAAGGTTTCAACAATCTCGTTTCTTAAAAAAAGAAAAAAAAATAAGAAAGAAAGAAAGAAATAAAACCCCAGAGAAAAGAAAAGAAAAATTTGTTCTAGTCTCTCTTTACTTTTCCTCGAGAAATCATCAAGATATTTTTTC